GTGCCCCGAGGAGCACCGAAGACGTGGACAAGGGTCTGTCTGTGTGCCGAGGAGCACCGAAGACGTGGACAAGGGTCTGTCTGTGTGCCGAGGAGCACCGAAGACGTGGACAAGGATCTGTCTGTGCCGGAGGAGCACCGCAGACGTGGACAAGGATCTGTCTGTGTGCCGAGGAGCACCGAAGACGTGGACAAGGATCTGTCTGTGTGCCGGGGAGCACCGAAGACGTGGACAAGGATCTGTCTGTGTGCCGGGGAGCACCGAAGACGTGGACAAGGATCTGTCTGTGTGCCGGAGGAGCACCGAAGACGTGGACAAGGATCTGTCTGTGCCCCGAGGAGCACCGAAGACGTGGACAAGGATCTGTCTGTGCCCCGAGGAGCACCGAAGACGTGGACAAGGATCTGTCTGTGTGCCCCGAGGAGCACCGAAGACGTGGACAAGGATCTGTCTGTGTGCCGAGGAGCACCGAAGACGTGGACAAGGATCTGTCTGTGTGCCGAGGAGCACCGAAGACGTGGACAAGGATCTGTCTGTGTGCCGAGGAGCACCGAAGACGTGGACAAGGATCTGTCTGTGTGCCGGGGAGCACCGAAGACGTGGACAAGGATCTGTCTGTGTGCCGAGGAGCACCGAAGAGCGCCGCGGGAGTGGAAGGAGAATAGACGGGTCCCGCGGGTTCTTGTCTTAGTTTTTTCCTTAGGATCTTGAGTCATGGCTCTTTCCATGCCCATTTTACAGTCCATATTCTGGGGGAGAGAAAGGATATTCTTGCTTTTGCTTCACTAGGTGTGGTGTTGCCTCCGCATCGTATGCCTTTGCCCACGTTTACCACCATGCCCGACTTCTCGTCTTCCTCTTCCGCCCGCCGCTGTGCTGAGTTCTCACTGCGAGACTACACCTTCCCGCTTCCTCCTGTCGGATGAGGCTGCTTTCTTCTGAAAGTAGAGGCCTCTGCTTGCCTTTTCAGCACGAACTTCTCTCCCCCTTTCTTCCAGAAAGTCTCTCCAAGCTCAGAGTCCCAGCTCTTTGCCTCCCACTTTTCTTCACTCTCCTCTGGGCTCACTTTCCCCTTCAGTGTGCACACCTACACATGACCAGTTGCTCCCACGGGAAAAGCACACCCCTTTCCCATAGACGCCCCCTGGACAGCTGTTCCAGCCCCTGCGCTCCCAGCGCAGCTGCCTGGGCGAAGGGCTGCGCCTGCGGGAAGCGACCGCGCGCGGCCTGCTCTCACCCTCCCTCCCGTCTTCCCGTCTCCTGCTCTGCTCTCCCCAAGGGAGACCTTGGGGTGCATACATACGGATTGGGGCGCTGTTGTCTCTTCCGTTAGACTGGAACCTACTCAAGGCCAGGGGATTCTGTCACCTTGGACACCCCTGTATGCCAAGTGTGTAGAACTGCCCGAAATACATTAAGGGCTCAAGAAATAATTGTGGAAATCATGGCCTCGGTTCTAGCCTTAGTTTTTGTTGCTTACTTTGCATTTCCTTATTTTGTAACAGTTTTATGGCCAGTTTTTTGGACATATTAAGGGGTCTCTTTTTTGTAGAAATATTCATTTTAATTATTTTTGCATGGTCCTGGCGTCTGATTTTGATTTCTGTGGGGTTTAATTTGCTCCAGGAAATACTTGTGTGGCAAGATGGTAGTTACACTTTCTTCTGGAGCATCTGCTCCGATCATAGCGGCTGACGGCCCAGGGGTTCCCAGCCCCAGCTGTCAGTCAGAATCACTGGGGAACTTGAAGAAACAAAAAGTAGAGCCCACTGAATCACATCAGGGTGGGGCAAGGGCTGTACAATTTCAAGCAGTGTTTGTAGGTGATTGTTACTAGCTGGCTTGGTGTGAGGCTTCAGCAGAACTGGGTGCTGTGATCATTAGCAAACCTGCCAAGGGGGACTGTGACTGAGTGCTCTCCACCGTGTGGCACTGGGAGGCCACGAGCAGAACTTGCGTCCGTGTTTTCATTGGGAGGGAGTGCTCCCTGTTTCAGGAAGGATGCAGTCTGGTGTGGAAGGAAAAGGAGCATAGAAACCTTTGGAAAATAAGCATGAGATACAGGTCATTGGCTGAAAGTCCAGCAGGAGGTAGGAGGGAAAGCAGTGACAATAGGTGTTTGGATTCTGTTTTTCTTGCAGGTCATACTTTGGCTTCTTGTTGTTAATCCTCACTTGAGGGCATTTTTCCATTGATATTTTTTAGAGAGAGCGTGGAAGGAGGGAGGGAAGGGGGAGAGAGAGAGAGACAGACAGACAGACATTGATGTGAGAGAAACACATTGATTAGTTGCCTCCCCTACAACTCTAACCGGGGCTGGGGATTGAACCTGCGTCTCGGGTACGTGCCTCGACTGGGAATGGAGCCCGAGACCTTGGTCCTCGGGCTGATGCTCTCACTGCTGAACCAAACTGGCCAGGGCCAGAGGCATATTTTGTTTGACCTGCAGATTAAAAACAACAGAGCATTTTCAATTAGTTGCTTACATTTAGCAATTAGGAAAAAGTTTACAGCTTTAAATTCCCCTCCAAGTACCTGTTTTGCTGCATCCTGTGCTCATTTGTCTCAAAATAGTTTCTCATTTCCCTAGTTATTTCTTCTTTGACTTGTTAGTTGATGAAGTGTGTGCTATTTAATTTCCATGTATTTGTGAGTTTTCCAGTTTTTCTTTCATTATTGATTTCTAGTTTTATTTTATAGACTATGCTTTGCATGATTTTGACATTTAAAAATTTATTAAAAATTGTTTTATGGCCTTACATCATGCTGCACAGTGTTCCATGAGCTCCTGTGTTTTGGACTGGACAGTCTGTTGATCTATTTTCAAGTTCATGGATTCTTCCACCAGTCCACATGTACTAGTGAGCCCTGCCAGTGAGTTTTTCATTCAGTTATTCTTCAATTCCAGATTTTCTTTTTTGGTTCTCTTTAACAATTTGTTTATTTAGATCATCTCTTTGATGCGACATTATCAGCATTACTTCCTTTAGTCTTTAATCATGGTTTCTTTAGAATTGTTTTTTTTCTCTTTTTATCTGTGAATGTCTGGTTCACTTTCATTGAGTAATCTTTTTTTTTAATCCTCACCCAAGGACATTTTTGCGTTTATCTTGAGATAGAGCCGGAGGGAGAAAGGGAGGAAGAGAGAGAGAGAGAAACATCATGTGAGAGAGATAACATTGAGTGGTTGCCACCCACATGACACCAACCAGGGCCAGAGACAAACTGCAACCAAGGTACGTGCCCTTAGCAGGAACCTAACCCGGGCCTCTCTGGTCTGTGGGCCCACGCTCCAACTGCTGAGCCAAACTGGCCAGGACTCATTGAGTAATCTTGAATAATTGTTTTCATTTGATGAATGACTTTAAATAGTTGTTTCATCAAAAATAATGTGACCAGTTTCCTAGGCAGTGGTTGGTAGAGCTCCTCATACTCTCCTGATGGGAGTGGAACTCCTCAAGGACATTCTTCTTTAACATCTTCCATCCCTGGGGTGTGTTACAAAGCACCTGTCCTTGGTGGGAATCGATGTGTTACTTTGTAAGAACTTCACTGGTTAATTCCAGCCCCAGGCCGGAAACCTCGCTGGCTTTGTTAGCGTGTGTACCGTCTGGCTCCCGAGGTGGGCTCGGGGGGCCTCTTGCTGCTTCTCAGGCCTGCGGCGGCAGGTGTGTGCATCAGAGAGGAAGCTTTAATGCCAGGTCTTTGATTTTCCAAATAACAAAAGTAAATTTAAAAATGAGATATGAGCCCTGGCCAGTATGGCTCAGTTGGTTGGAGCACTGTCCCGTGTACAGAAGGGTCGCAGGTTCTGCCTGGTCAGGGCACCTACCCATGCTGCCATTTCGATCCCTAGTGCCCTGTCGAGGCACCTACAGGAGGCAGCTGATGGGTCTTTCTCTCCCTCATTCCCCCTTCTCACTAAAATCAATGAAAAAAAAAAATCCTCATGGGAGGATTAAAAGAAAGTGAAACCTTGCTGTGTGTGCAAAATATATACTTGAGAAATCTAAAATATTAATATTTTCTGCATTGATTACATGCTATGATGATATTTTTGTGTGTGGCTATTCTGGGTTAAATATGTTTTAAAATTTCACTTGTAAAGTTTCATGTTTCTTTTTACTTTTTAAATGTGGCTAGTAGAGAATTTAAAAGTACAGTTGACTCTGGAACAGCATGGGTTTGAACTGCACAGGGTCCACCTATATATGGGTTTTTCCAATAAATATGTAGACAGCAGTCTGTATCCCTAGGTTTTGCATCCATAGAATCAACCAACCACAGCTAAAACCAGTATTTTCGATCTGTGGTTGGGAATCTTCAGATGCAGAGAGCAGACTATGCATTGTGCCGGCCGTTTTATAGAAGGGACTTAAGCAGCCATGGATTGTAGCATCCGCCAGGTTTCTGGAACCAGTCTCCGTGGGTACCTGGGGATGACTGTTAAATTTTGGCAGCGGCAAAGTTATACATGGATTTTCAACTGCATGGGGGTGTCGGTGGGCTTCGGCGCCTGAGCCCTGCCTTGTTTGGGGTGCGCTGTATATGTGTGGCTGTGTCATCGAGCAGTTCCCCACAGTCCCGATGGCTCCTTAACCAGGGTCTTTGTTTCCCAGGGTGCATTTGGAAAACTGAAGATTTTAAGAAGTGTTATAACTAATAGCAGATCACCAATTTTTTATTTTGTATAGTTGTATGTATACTCAAAAATTATTTTATAAAGAAAGTGTTTTATTAAAATTTACGATAAAAAACTGTCCTATTATTGGTTTTTCATGCCTAATAATGTTCAATAAATTTATTTTCTTTGGGTAGCTATGTATTTTAAAGTTTTTAAATTATTAAAAATGCTAAAGTATTTACGAAAGTTATATATGGAACTTTTGTATTTTAAAATATGATATCAGGAATCCTCCAAAGAAAGGTTGTGTCAGTCTTTGAATATGTGGATGTGTTTTAGTTTGGGAAGACTGACTTTCATGGCCTCTCCCTCACAGATGACGACTTTGACCAATTCGATAAGCCCGGCGCAGAGCGGTCCTGGAGGAGAAGGGCTGCCGATGAGGACTGGGACAGGTAGGACCCGCCTGTGGCCGAGCCCATGCTCGCTGTCTCCTGTGCGTGCTGTGCACAGTGTGCTGCCACCAGCTGCTCTTCCTGAGTGGGCTGGAGCACGGGGGCGGGCACTCCAGGCCGCAGGGCAACGCGGACGCTGGTTGTCGCGTCTGTTCTGTCCGTTGGCGGGATTGCCTTGGCGGACATGCAGCTGCTGCTGGGGCACGCGTCCGCCTGAGTCCCCTTCCCACAGCCGTCCCGTGCTTGCTGGATTGAAATGTTCGCCATTTTAGTGTGCATTTTATTTATTTATTTATTTATTTTTATTAATTAATTTTTGTTACAGATGTTTCTCCTTTTTCCCCCCACTGATTCCCCCCTCCTCCTCCCTCCCTGCCCTTTCCCCAGTTTGTTGTCCATGTCCGCTGTTCATGCACACATGCATATAAGTTCTGTGGTTTATGTCTCCCCCACCACCCCTCTCTTCTGGGGATTGTCAGTCTGTACCCCACTTCCATGTCTCTGGGACTACCCCATTCCTCAGACTGTTATGTTCATTATATTCCACAAATAAGTGAGATCATATGAAACTTGTCTTTCTCTGTTTGGCTTGTTTCACTTAGGATGATACTTTCCAGGTCCCTCCATGTAGTCTCAAAGGATAAGAGATCTTTCTTTCTTACAGCTGCTTTTGTGTATATGTACCACTGCTTTTTTATCCATTCGTTTAGTGTGCATTTTGAATGTGAAGATGAAAATATGTTATATCTCTCCAGGAGTGCATGTGTGTGCGTACACATACACACTCAAGTATATACGCTGAAAATATAAGGAAGGCCCCAGTAATGATAGATGCCTTCCTTATATTTTCAGCGTATATACTTGAGTGTGTATGCGTACGCACACACATGCACTCTTGGAGAGATATAACATAGATAGATGCCAGGTCAGTGCAGTGACTACTTCTGGTGCAGGGAGAAATCCTCGGGACAGAAGTGGGGCGCTGGGGTTCTCCAGAGATGATCTGTCTGTACACATCTGACCATTTTAAGTATGGGGGTGAAAATGTGGAAATGACTGGGTTTCAGTCAGAAAGTTTAATGCAAAGGTACACAGCTCTGATTAAAGAACAACAGTGCTATAAAACAGTAGGGTGTCCCAGAAGTCTCAGAATTGGAAAGTCCTCAGAGCCTTTATAAATTTCATTGCTCTCTGGCCACTCAGCCTGCAGACAGTGACTCGGCGCTTAGAACAGTCTCCTGTGGAAAGGTGGTCTCCCTGGGAGGGGCGACTGGTTGGTTTAAAGGACTCTGGGAGCCGAATGAAGTATCAAGTGTACCTGAGCAGTTTACACATCGTTTGGATTTTCTTCTCTGTCAGTTATCTTTTCCTATCTATGTCTGTTTTTCTTTGGGTGATTTGTCTTCTCCTTACTGAGTTCAGGGATTCTTTCTACTTTGGGAAATTTACTTTTTGTGCTTGTAGAAATTTCCTCCCAGCCTGTGGCTTGTGTCCCTTGAACAGTAAATAGTCTTTAAGTAGATTTTTATAAGTAATATAATTAACTGTCTAATCTTCACCTGTATGATTTTATTTTATTTTTTGTTAATTCTCACCCGAGGATATTTTTCCATTGATTTCTAGATAGAGTGGAAAGGGAGGGCGATAGAGAGAAGCATCAATTGGTTGTCTCCTGCACAACCCCCACCAGGCTGGGGATCAAACCTGCAACCTCTAGGTACAGTGCCCTTGACTGGGAATTGAACCTGCAACCCTTTGGTCCACGGGCAACACTCTAACCACTAAGCCAAACCAGACAACACTGTTTATTCTTTTATTAAAATATAAGAATATGTATCTGTAAAAAGAGCACAACACTCTGGCATGTCCTTCTCGAGCCTGCTGAGGCCTCCTCTTCGCGAGAAAGCCTGCTCCATCCAGAGCACAGGCACGCTGACCGAGGCTCGCGGCTGCCTCGGGCCTCATCCACACAGCCCTGGCTGGGACCACTGGTGCGCTGTCGTCGGCACCATCGTCCCATGTGTAATTTTTTCAGTTTTTGCAGTTGGGTGAGTATGAAGTGCTCTCAGTGGTTTTGGTTTTCAATATTCCTAGTTAATGATGTTGGGCATCTTTTCCTAAGTTGTGTAGATTTTTAAAGGTGGAAGAAAGCACAGATATTACTTATTATAGTTTATTGTTTTACTGATTACTGAACAGGTCAGAAAGATCCCATGTTGAGGTGAAAACTAAGTTTAGAGTTGTGGTGAGAGCCCCTCCTACAGCAGAGCCTCTCTCACTTCTAGGACCGGTGCTCCCTGGGTGTGAGCATGAGCTGTGACTAGTACAGCGAGGAGAGAGTGCCACAGATGTGGCATAGAATACCCCAGCCCCTAGTCCTGGGCAGGCGCCCACCACCTGTAGACCTCCCGTGTGACAGGGTGATGCATTGGTCTGTCTCTTGTTCTCCCCAGTGAACTGGAAGACGACTTACTCGGAGAAGATTTGCTGTCTGGCAAAAAGGTAAGAACTACAGGTCTTTCTGTAACTGAATGGTAGTCATTTATTTACACTTAAAATATAGGAATACATCTGTGTGAGTTGCGTTACTGGTAAGTTGGGTATAGGTTAAAATTTTGTGAATTGAATTATTATTTTTATATTTATGTTTATATTTTTTAATTTTTTCTTTATTGTTGAAAGTATTATAGACGTCTCTTCTTTTTCTTCCATTGACATAGAATTATTATTTTTAATCCTCATGTGAGGATATTTTTCCATTTATCTCCCAGTAGAGTGGGAGGGAGGGAGGGAGAGAGAGAAAGAAACATTGATGTGAGAGAGACACGTCGACTGGTTGCCTCCCGCATGAACCTGACCAGGGCCGGGACCACACCGCAACTGAGGTACGTGCCCCTGACTGGAATCGAACCCGAGACTCTGGTCCGTGGGCCGACGTGCTGACCGCTGAGCCAGACCAGCCAGGGATAGAATTATTTTTTCAAATGTACAAAGAGCTCACTGTTGAACATGTCAGTAGGCTCCCTGGTAACTCGCAGCTCAAGCAGTCAGTCCGTCCTCTGGCAGCTCGCTCAGCTCTCACGTCCCGGGCGCGGAGCGAGTGAGCGGTGCCCTGGGCTGCCCTGCCGGGAGCTCGTGCTCATGCTCCTGCCCGGCATCCTGGCCTGGGACGCACTCTTCGGGGTGTTCAGAGATGTGCTCGAAGGGAAATGCACTCAGATCGCACATGTTCCGCTGACTAGGAATAAAGTTCTAAAACCTAGTGTAGCTTTCTCTGACCCTTCCATCAACCAGAGACTTTGAAGCTATTGTCCCTGAGATGTGTCTGTCTGTCTGTGTATCGTGTGTCTGTATGTGTATAGCACTCTACCAAATAGTTAGAACATTTTGAAACATATGTTAAAAAATAGAAATAAACTGCCAGAGATTAAAAGGAAATGCTGATTTTTAATTTTATTTATTAAAAGTTTAAAAACACTTGCAATTCTCATTAAATATCAACATAGTTTTTGTTTTAATTGAATATAATTAACATGATAGTTTATGTTTAATATTTAAAAGTTTTAAGGTTGTGATTGATGGCTTCTTATCAGCAGTTATGTGAAGCTCATACTTTTAGGTGACGGGGCTGCATCATCGCTCAGATGGGATTGTTTCCTTTGACTCCTCTGTGACGTAGCTGGGGAAGGGCTCTGCCCTCTGCTTGGGCTCGCTGTGCTGCACGTGGGCAGTGCTCTGCTGTGTGGGTTTGTCGTGGGCTCTTCTGAAGCCACTTTCTTTTTTTTCTTTTTTTTTATCCTCACCCGAGGACATTTTTCCTTTTTTTTTTTTTTTTGTTCAGGTAGAGTGGGAGAGAGAGAGAGAGGAACAGAGAGAGAGAGAAACACCGATGTGAAAGGGACACATCGAGTGGCTGCCACCCCCACGACCAACCAGGGCCGGGGACAAACCGCAACCAAGGTACGCGCCCTTAACGGGAACCGAACCCGGGTCTCTCGGGACCGCAGGCCGACGCTCTAACCACTGAGCCAAACTGGCCAGGGCTGAAGCCACTTTCTTCCTGTGTCCTGTTTCTGACTGCGCCATCGGTCTGCAGGTGGCCTGGCTTCGGCCTGCCCCGACCCTTTCTCCCTAAAGTGGCTCTGTCATCACCTATAACTCTAAATAAGAAGCACTTTAGTTACCTGTAGATCCACTTGATCTCCTACATGAAGAAGGACCCAGCAGAAGGATTGTAAGTGACAGACCATGAGAGCCCCTCAGCCCCTGCATGTTAGGGCTCATGTTCTGGCCTTGGTGCCGCCTGTGTGGTGTGAGGTGGGTGCCCGGGCCTGGCCTGCCTGTGTCATGGTCACAGGTGAGTCAGTGACACGTCCTTGAAGTGCTGTCACTGTACTTGGGAGCCTACCACCCTAAGTGGACACAGTTTTCCATTGTAACCACTTAAGATGCTTTAATGAAGATACCAGTTAGATGTTACAGTGTTCAAGTGTAGTAAAATACTTCTCTGTGACGTCGAATTTCTACCCATGGGCTGCTCACTGTGTCTCAGATGCCCTGTTTCCCTCAGGGTGTCCCTCTTGCCCTGATCACCCCTGTGGGGACATTGGTCCATGTCTCCTGAAAGTGTGGTCAGGTCTCTCACAACCAGTAAGATGGAAATGCACTGTTGGTTTGGATAATAATGTGACTGTTCTGGGGAAGTAGTCTTCGTGTAGCTTGGCCACGCTTCACGTGGAGCAGGAGCCATGTGCCTGGTGGACACAGCCAGGCCGTGAGGTCCACCCGTGCTTCCTGACTCGCCTGCCGTGGACACTGCAAGTCTAATTCGGGACTGGGTGGTCCTCAGTCTTCCCCCTCTTCTAATGTCAGATAGATTCCTGTTACCTGGTAAGAGTCAGAGTTCAGTAACTTTAAAAATAATGAAACAATAGATATAAACCCTCATAATTGACATTTTGCCATATTTTTTTTCAATCCTCACCAGAGGACATTTTTGCATTTATCTTTAGACGGAGCAGGAGGGAGAGAGGGAGGAAGAGAGAGAAAAATCGATGTGAGAGAGACTGGTTGCCACCCACATAACCCCCATTGGGGCCGGTGACAAACTGCGACCAAGGTACATGCCCTTAGTGGAAACTAAACCTGGGTCTCTGGAGCCTGGGCCGATGCTGTAACCGCTGAGCCAGATTCACATAACCCCAATCGGGGCCGGTGACAAACTGCGACCAAGGTACATGCCCTTAGTGGCAACTAAACCTGGGTCTCTGGAGCCTGGGCCGATGTTGTAACCGCTGAGCCAGATTGGCCAGGGCGCCATATTTCTTTTCATTCTCATTTCATGTTTTAAAATAGACTTTACTATGTATAAAAAACATTGTTTCCTTTTAGTTTTGGCATTGTGTCTTTGACATTTTCCTGTTGTCCCTAAATGTTATTTTAAGATACTTTATAATGGCTACGTAATATTTCGTTGTTTGTGTACACTGTAGTACACCTAGATATTTTTATGTGCATTGGGGTTGTTTCCAGACAACTGCTTATGACTGTAAAAAGAACCAACTTTTTCATGGAAAAAGCCTGTGCAGAAGAGGCAGGAGCGGTGTGACGACCGTCCAGCCTCTGCCACCCGCTGCGCAGTGCTGTCCCAGGCCGTCCTCTGCGTCTGTGCGCTCGCTCCGCATCCTGAGTCACGGGAAGCAGGTCCCCGACGTCGCAGTGACACCCTTGGCACATGTGCTGCGAAGCGGGCACAGTCGTGACGTTTTCATGCTCAGGTCCTACTGTGCTTTTGCGATTCTTGTCTCAGGAAGTTCCATACCGGGGGGTTTCTTGCTGGAGGGTGTCAGCGGTCCAGGGTGTGGCTCACGTTCGCCAGGTTGCTTTTCCGCTGCTCTGTTGCCCGGCAGCAGTGCGGAGTCTCTCACCTTTCCACTCCCCAGCTTCCATCCCGCTTAAGACAGTCTGTCAGTGCGGCAGGTGAAAGATGATAGCTAGTTGGTTTCTTTCTATTTATTTGGCTGCTAATGAGATTGAAGATTTGGTCAGGTATTTATTTATTATAGGTCTGTGAGTGGAGCCAGGTGATGGGTACACTGGCTGCCTGACCACTGACTTTTTCCCAGTTGAGTCCCCACAAAATGTACAGAGATGTGACTTGGTCTGGAGAGAGACTCCTAGTCTCCTGGTGGCCAGGGAGGTTAATGGCCTCCTCTCACCTAAAACCACGTACTGAGTGTAGCGAAAATGCTTGACTGTCCAGGACAGCTTGAGATCAGGTTCATCCGTGTCGAGGAGGGAGGTTGTAGGGTCAAGTTTTACATACAGGGTCAGGCCCTGGCCGGTTTTGCCCAGGGGTTAGAGAGTCGGCCCACGGACCGAAGAGTCACGGGTTCGATTCTGGTCCAGGGCACGTAACTCAGTTGCGGTTCAATCCCCGGCCCTGGTTGGGGTTGTGTGGGAGACAACCAATCAATGTGTCTCTCTCACATCGATGTTTCTCTCTCTCTGTTCCTCCTCCTTTCTTTTCCTTCTACTCTCTCTGAAAATCAATGGAAAAATACTCTCGGGTGAGGATTTAAAAAAACAAACAAACAAAAAACAGGGTAAGAATGGCACACTGGTAAATGTGAGAAGAAGCAGGCTGGCGTGACCGGGGTAAGTATTGGAACTGGGCCCGGCTGTGGCGGCAGCTCCTCTGCCTCCATGCAGCGTGGGCGGGACCCTGCTCTTCCGTGTCCCTCCAGGCTCGGGGAACCCTGCTGTCTGACACCAGTGCCCATTCTGGGGCCCTGGAGAACACGGGGGGGAACCACTCGTCCCCTTTCTCACCTGCTCCTCCCTCCGTGGGGGAGTGATGACCTGTTTGGCGAGTGTGGGAGCAAGGCTTCAGTGGCGCTCATGGCCACTGTCACTCTCTCGGGCTCCGTGGGCCCTGCTTTCCCAGACAGTCCTGAGCAGAGCTTCCTGGATCCCCCACTCCTGCCTTTGGAGAGAGAGAGAGCTCACTCCAGTTCACGGGGAGGGGTTGGAAGTCAGCTTTGGTCTCCAGGGCTGAGTCTGGCTCTCCATTCCTGCTTACCTGTGGAGTGGGTGTTCTCGGTATTGCCCCCCGTCTGTTACTCGTTAGATTCGGGATTGACACAAAGCGGGGTCCACAGAACTCAGAAGTGAGACCTGTTACCACTGGGGTCTGTCACAGCATAATGTTCTTTTTTTGTTTGGTGAATTATTTGTTGGTTCACTAGTTTTTGATAAGTACTTTAAAGTTCAGCTAAAAAACTAAGGAAGCAGCCTCTTTTATTAAATGAAATTTGGCTTTCATTAAATTGTTAATTTTTAAAGAGTTCCTGAAAGTGATTTATTTAATCAGTTGGGCAGCTAAACATAGGTTCATTGATGGCAGACCCGGCTCACACCTGTCCTTGGTGTTCCTGTCACTCAGAACGGGCCCAGGTGGGAAGTAGAACATGCGGGCACCTGGGCGGAGCTTCCTCTGGCTGGCTAAGCAGTCTGCTCGGCAGCTCCGCCCCCTTCCCCCCCGGGCTGTCCGCCTCGCCCCGGTGTCAGTGGTGAGCTGGGGCTGTGGGACTGATGAGAGTGGCTCGTGACTGATCGTTTCGGCTCACAGCAGAAACACTGGTGGGGAGTGTGCAGACGAGTTTGGGAACCTGTTTCCATAAGCTGTGAGATGCTGGGAAAGACTGCGTATTCGTCTGCTTTGTCTTTAAGTAGAAAACCACGTCTTTTTTTCTACCCCCCCCCCCCCGCCCGTATGTGTAGGGGGGCTTTGCTTGTCTTTTGGAGGGGAGCGGTAATATATACCATAGAAATAGTTTTAATAGGGAAGGAACGTGCGAAGAAGTTCCCCCTTTCCCCACCTGAGGTACTGATATGCATTAACCTGGAAGTACAGACACGTGGCCTGGTGGCAGTCATGGCCACCTCTGTCACAGACAGGGTGACCGCCTGGGGTGCTGGGGTCAGTGCCAGGGCTGGGGCCGTCGCTGATCTTCAGTGCCGCCTGCGGTGGGCACACCAGGCTTATTTTAATCCCTTGTCATTTCAACTTGGTGATCCAGTTATCTACAGTCTGCTAATTTCTAAAAGTCTAATTTTTTATTCTTCTTTAAAAAGTCTTTAGATTTTGGATACTAAATGATAAATTTAGTAAAATCTTAAGGATACCATTCTTTTTTGTGTATAAGGAAATTTTTTGTTTGTAGGATGTCACCGAGAGGCTTCCCTTTCTTTTTAGAGTTAGAATAAATACGGTCACTGTGCTTCTGCTTCTGCACTTACTTGACTGTGCACCTAGAAATGGGACGGGGCAGTCAGCCAGCGCGCTGGACGGTGCTGAGGCCACGGAGGCTTGCTGAGTGCAAATGTTTAATAACAGGGTTGGAAACTGTTCGGTCAACGTGATTTTGCACTTTTATAACAAGTCTTTTATGGAAGTGACATGCATTAAGTAGGTTTCTTATTTTAATTAGAACCAGTCGGATTTGTCAGATGAAGAGCTGAATGATGATCTGTTACAGAGTGATAATGAAGACGAAAATTTCAGGTACTCAACATTTACTCCTTAAAACTGTTTTTTATTTACCTAAGAGGATAAGAACTGTTTGTAACCTGTAATGGAGATAATTTTGTATGGTATGTATCTTTAACATATTCTAAATGGGATATTAGTATAGCTCTGATGTGAAAACCATATGTCTTTTTGTATAATTGGGTCATCTGTTTAAAACCCATGTTGGCGTTGTGTTTATGACCTTGTGGGTCTGCGTGCCGGTCGTGGAAGCTGAGCACGGGGCGGCTGCTCTCCTCGGGGTGGCAGTGGCCCTGCCCTTGTCGGCGTGCCTGTGCTGCCTTTGTTTTCGTCTAGACATTTTCTGCGTGGACCTGCTGGTCACCATTTGGGAAATGCCATTTTGGAAATTCCTTTGGTCTGTACTTTAGACTCTGGTTGGCTCTGTGTAGCGGTGGCAGTCTGTCGGGCTGCTCGAGTAGAACACCGTAACCTGGTGGCTCACAAACAGCAGACATTTATTTCTCACGGTCTGGAGACTGGGAAGTCCAAGGCCAAAGTGCCAGCGTGGGCAGGTTCTGCTGAGGACCCCCGGTTCACAGGCGGTGTCTTCTCACTGTGTCCTCATGCGGTGGAAGGGGTGAGGGGCTCTTTGGGGTCCCTTTTCTAAGGGCACTGATCTCATCGTGAAGCTCCACCCTCATGACTTGAGCACCTCCGAAAGCCTTCACCCCCAGACTCCCTCATAGTGGGGTTGCCCTGGAAATAGACCTTTGGAGTTTTTAAGCCACATAATGTCTATGTGGTGTATTCAGTGTTTTGTTAGGATTGGTTCTTAATACGTGGGACTTAGATTTACCTGAAGAATCTTGCATTTTAAGTGATATTTAGCCTTTGTGATTTAATAGATAGAATATGATTTTTTTTTTTCAGTTTTAAAACCCTTTGTACGTTAACTCAAATTATGAACTAATTTTTTTCATATTTGTGCCTAGGATAAATTTTATTTATTTGAACATTAAAATATAGTCTTGTACACATTTTTAATATTTTGATTTAAATAGGAATCGGTAATTTGCACCATGGATTAAAAAAAAAATTATGTTTATAATTCTGCCTACAGTTTTCTGTTTATAGAGTAATGCTATTTCTACATTGAAATCTTAGAAAACAAGCCATCCTTTTCATCCTGGTGGCTAGAATGAAACTCACTGTATTAGCGTTCAGACCTCAACTTTTTTTTTTTTTTTTTTTTTTAATCTTTACCCAAGGACATTTTTGCATTTATTACAGATAGAGCGGGAGGGAGAGAGGAGGGAAGAGAGAGAGAGAAACACCGATGTGAGAGAGACACATTGGCTGGTTGCCACCCACACAACCCCAACCGGGGCTGGGGACAAACTGCAACTGAGGTATGTGCCCTTAGCGGGAACCGAACTCGGGACTCCCTGGTCCGCAGGCCAACACTCTAATCGTTGAGCCAAACCGGCCAGGGCCAGGCCTCAACTTTTGCCAGTGAAGTCAGACCTGTTTACCCATCTGGTGTATCTGATTCTGTTGGTCACATAACCTGCGACAGCTGATAGTGGGGACGCTGTCCTCAGAGTGTGGGTGCCGGCTCAGTGCATGCAGCACACGAGCTCGGCTTCCCGTCCTTGTGGGAGGCCGTGTGTTTATAAGAACTGGAGTGACTTGTTTCCAGTTAGGGTTTATCTTTGGAACAGTTAACAGATGTAATGACTTGGTTTTGAGCTCCACTGTCACTGACCCCTTTCTCTGTATTTGTGTTCTCCTAGTTCTCAGGGTGTTACAATTAGTCTGAAAACCACATCTGGCATGGTCACATCATATGAACTGACTGACAGCACTAATGACCAGTCGGGAGAACAGGAATCCGAGTATGAGCAAGGAGAGGATGAACTGGTTTATCACAAGTCCGAAGGGTCTGAGTTGTATGCCCACGAGTACCCGGCGGAAGGGCAGTACGAAGGCCAGGAGGCCGAGCTGACAGGAGACCACATGGAGTACGTGGGAGAGCCGGAGGAGGGGCAGCTGTACAGCGACGAGGTGCTGGACATCGAGATCAACGAGCCTCTGGACGAGTTCACGGTGAGTCTCTTCCGCCGCCGCCGCAGACGGAACCTGCTGCCCAGGGTGCAGGGTTCTAGACAGATTGGAAATCCATCTCCCTCCCTTGGGAGGGAGGGAAATTAGACCTTATTATCACTGTCTGCCAGTTTCTTTATCTGAGCTGTGACAAAGTTTGTGTTGACAGCTTGTTTGGCCGGAGGTGATGCTCCTTTGTCATCCTGGAAGGCTGTACAGAACTGTGACCTTGAGGATTGCACCCTGAGGAAGGAACAGCTTTGTGTGCGGGAGATACACTGTCAATTGTTAGAAGTGCTTAATGCAGAGCTTTTATCCGGGCTTTGGACAAGATCTGATAAAGTCCTTCTAAGGTGAAAAGATTATTGACCTGCTAAAGACATCTTTAAGGTGCTAATATTCCAGAGTGATTGATGGTCCTGTTCATTCATCCTTTCTGTAGCTGAGAACTGTCCAAACATGAATAAAGAGATGGGAGGTTAGTTTAGGAAATGTCACAGGAATCTGTTATCTGTGATCAGAAAGTGGAGATTGTGCTGATTTTTATTTCAGAAAGATGATTTTCATAGTAGCTTTCTTCTTTTAAGTTGAATGTCAACAGAGAAAAAGGTGCTAGTGAAAGGTTGCTCATCTGTCTTTAGTGATTCATCATTAGAAAGATTTGTTTTTAAAACAAGCTCTTAACGAGATTGTGCGGGAGGATGCAATCTCCTTAGCCGTAGCCAGATCTCGGGGTTTCAGGGCCCTGGGGCTGCATGAGGTGCACTGTAAGTGGGGCTGTGGGGGCGGTGCAGAGTGTGGGCTGTGCACAGCCCCACTCAGGGAGCTCTGCCTGCCCTCCCAGGGTTCTCGTGCAGAGGAAGCTTGCGTCTGAGAGAAAGTTAAAAAATTTGCTGCATTTTGGCCAGCGAGATACATATATGTATATAATTTCAAGGTTTTTGAGGTTTATGTGGAACCTTAGAATATGTAGTTCCAGCCATGATTGTGTTTAAGTATCTACATAGCTATTGTTAAGATCTGTTTCTTTTTGAATGCTTTCTGTGCAGCAGATGCGGTAATGAAAAGTGTTTGAAGTTTCGGTGAACAGAGGCACAGAAAAGGCATCCTGGGTGCTGTTCTTTGCCAGCCCTGGAGCGCTTGTCTTGGTCATCCTTCCCACCTGTGCCTCCTGGTGTGTTTTCCAGCTCAGTGTCAGCCACTGCTTAGACTGCTTCTGAACAGCCAAGCTATGATCTTAATTTTTTAATAAATCCTCACCCGAGGACATTTTTCCATTTATTTTCAGACAGGGTAGGAGGGAGAGGGAGGGGGAGAAACACAGATGTGATAAACACACACAGATTGGTTGCCTCTCGCATGATCCTGACCAGGGCTGGCGCTCAAACCACAAGTGAGGTACGTGCCCTTGACCGAAATCGAACCTGCGACTCTTAGGTCCACACAGGCTGACGCTCCAACTGCTGAGCCACACTAGCCAGGGCCAGCCATGATCTTTTAAAACTGTGCTGCGTTATTGCCTAGTTGTAGCATCTTAATCTTCCTACTAATCATCAGTGAGGTAAAACGATTGGCCAGTTTTATTTGGTCCTCTCCCTTGTAAATTCAATAGTTCAACAAGCCTTGACTGATGTTCAAGCACTGGGGACACAAACATTGCTAGGACACGCAGCGTGGCCTGCCTTCTGTGAACTTGGAATTTAGTAGGACACCCCACTGCTGGGAAGCACTCCATCCGTGAGTGTGCATGGCCACGTGGGAGGTGTCCTCCTGTGGCCCTCGGGCAGGGTTCATTGTGAAGAGACTGCTAGTAAGTGAGGAGCTTCCCCCTCATATTCTGTCATCCCGCCGAGGTTACACTTAAATCCCTTGTTGTAGACAGTCCATCTGAATTATCCAGCCTTTTGTGGTCTGAGATTCATGTAACAAAAAGAAAAAAAAGTTGCAGTTGAATATACTCACAGTACTTTTCTACATCAAAATGAATTACGTTTTTTCAGAATTAAAAAGAATTTGCTTAGAAATTCTGAAAGTTGTAATATTTTCACAAAGAGTAATACTCTTTAAAGATGAAGCCAAGCCTGGCCGGAGGGGCTCAGTGGATTGAGTGTTGTCCCAGGGACTGAGAGGTCCCAGTTCAATTCCCTGTCAGGGCACATGCCCTGGTTGTGGTCTCCATCCCCAGTAGGGGGCAGGCAGGAGGCAGCTGGCCGATGTTTCTCTTTTACATCGATGTTTCCATCCATCTCTACTTTCTCTCTCGGAAAAAAAAAAAAAATCAATAAAAACATATTTAAAAATAATCATAGCCCTGGCTGGTCTGGCTTAGCGGTTAGAGTGTTGGCCCGCACACCAGAGAGTCCTGGGTTTGGTTCCTGGTAAGGGCATGTACCTCGGTTGCAGTTTGTCCCCGGCCCTGGTTGAGGTTGTGTGGGTGGCAGCCACTCGATGTGTCTCTCTCACATCATTGTGTCTCTCTCTCTCTCCTCTCTCCTCTGTCCCTCCCACTCTATCTGAAGATAAATGCAAGAGTGTCCTTGGGTGAAGATAAAAAAAAATAATAATCATAAAGATGAGGCTGAGTAGTGGGGTGTCTTTCTGTGAGCGGTGCAGCTCACCTCAGTCCGTGGGCTTCAGAGCCGTTCTTGCCTTCCTCCTGCATCTCCCCAAGATCAGTGGTGTCTTTGGAGTTCACAGTGGCAGAACCGGCACTACCTCCTCTGTGGGTGGGGCTGGCATGTGGACTTGAACTGGGAGATCCTCCCCTCAGCTCACGTTCATTCACTCCTCGTGTTTAGACCAATGGCACATGCGTAGATCCCGTGCCTGTGTGTCCCATGAGGTTTAGTGGATGAAATGCTTGTTTACCTGTGGTTTCGGGTCCTACTCTGGGCAGTGACGAGCTTGTTCTGTCCATTCGAGCTCACTCTGGGGAGCACATGGAGGAGTCTGTGTATCATGGGGCAGAATCAGAACCAGGTCTGCATTGATGAACAGCTCTGGTGTTATTTCCCGTTATGCTCAAAAGTGTGAAGATCCTTACATCTTGGGGATTTTGCTGGTCTTGTTCTTGAGAGTGAATTGGAATTTGACTTCAAAACTTATACTTAGGAAGGAGTGTATATCGCTTATTATTTAACAAAACATTAGAAAATAGTTTGTTGAGTGATTTATTCTTTAAGCACAGTTTATTTAGGGTCGTTAAAATGAACACAGTGAGATTCCATAAAACCCTGTTGGGTAAAACAGCCTCTGGCTGATAATCTATGAAAAGGGCAGCAGAGTTCTGTTTCCCAGGAGAGTCCAGGGATGCAGACTGTGCCCAAGTGTCCGCTGGCTGAACTTGGTCAGCATTACCTGGGCTTGTCTGCTCTGCTCTCGGACTCGTGGGTGGTGCAGTCGGTTTCTGACTGTCTTGTCCTCCTCGGGCATTTCGGAAGTCTGTTTCCTGTGGGACTGTACAGAGGTCATTCAGGCTCCATGGCGTGTTCACTGTTTGTCTCCTGCCTGTGACTCTCCAGTGCTTGCTGTGCCGGGGCCTGGGACACGGGGAGTCCAGCTCCCCTGGGTAGGACCGGATCATCTTGTCACTTGTGGGAGCTCTTCTTTCTCTTGGCGTGCTGCTCCCTTCCCTGTGCCCTCCAGGGCCTCCTGCCTGCTGACGTACGTGCCCCTTACATTTCCTGCAGACCTGAATCGTCTCTTAGTCAAGGAGCAGGCCGGTGGAGAAGCTGACTCTAGCCTGTGGTTCTCGGCACAGCTCCCGTGGGAACCGAATGCATTCTTTTGTTGTCTGGGGCCGGTGCACAGCTGCCGAGCCTCCAGGGCACCATGCGTCACTTTCTCTTTAGGTCCCTTGTCCTTGGTGCTGATGTCCTTAGAGGGATTCCTCAGGGCCCTTGGGGTTTGGGCAGAGCCCGTCCCTGAGCAGAGCAGGTGGGTTACGTGTTCTGTCCTTAGCACCGGGAGGCCCCTTCCTTTGTGCTGTCTCCTCAGGCCGGCAGCTGACGGCCTCAGTCCGTGTGTCACACGGTGACGCGTGGAGCACAGTGACAGTGCTGTGTGACACAGCTTGTTTCTCTTCAGGCTGTTAGGGTGACACAATTTTGCAGCTTATAAATAGGTGTTCGTGGAGGAACATTAATGGTTAGACCCGACATGAGAGTAAATGACCTGACCGCATAAAGGTGTGTGATTAGTAAGGCAGCACCTTTCAGACACACTTAGAGAGAAAGGGCAATCATTTTGTGCAAAGTTGGCTCTCTCCTTGTCCATGTGTGGACCTCAGATGGAGTAAAGATTTCCGTGTAAGAAACCAAACGAGCCTACTGTGTACACATGCACATCTACACACTGAACGGGGCACGTACCCAAAGACAACTCTTTCATAATGAGGGCTAGCTTTAGGTTTACTGGTAAGTCCAAAAACTCACCGAATATTAGGCGTTTACTTCCACTACGGTGAAAAGTTCCAGGGGGCATTTCAGACCCGGTTCTGTCCTTGCCGGGTAGTCGGTGCGCAGGCTTCCTGCCAGCTCGACGGTGCAGCCCCAGGCTGCGGCTCTCCCGGGCCACATGCAGCAGCGGCTGGCCGGGGACGGAGGGCCACGCACAGTTTGCACACGACATGTTGCCTCCATCTCATGAGCTGCGCCTTAGTCCCAGGGCTGTCCCTCACAGCAGGGAGGCTGGTGGCTATAGGGTTGTCATGTGTCCAGGTGGTACCGGGATGTGTGTGACTGAGCACGTGACATGAATGGTAGCAATGAGCACCAGATTGTCTTACTCTTCTTGGCATTAGGTGTTTTTTCCCATTGATTTTTTCAGATAGAGTGGGAGGGAAGGGGAGATAGAAACATCGATGTGAGAGGGACACATCGACTGGTTGCCTCCTGCACATCCCCAACCAGGGCCAGCAATTGAACCACAACCGAGGTACGTGCCCTTGACTGGAACTGAACCTGCTGGCCAGGGTGCGTTACATCCTTAGAGCACTTTGGGGAGAGACTGACGGTCGTGCTGCCTGTCAGCAAACACAGCTCACGCCTTCATTTCCGCCTGTCCTTTCGTTTCAGGGCATCGGCTCTTGACTTGTTCTTGATGGTAGGGGAATGTTCAGTACTGCAGCTCTGCAGAGGGTTGGTGCCCCAGCCCCATGTTGTTCAAGGGTCAGCTGTGTTTGTTTCAGAGAAATGGTTTTCAGCCCACCTTGGTCCTCTTGAGATTTCGTGGATGGGAGGTATGGATAGAGAATAAACATGTTTTACATTCAGCTTGTTTGGAACAATGTTGCACTGTTACTACTGTTAATGGCTGAATTAGAAATGACAGTTGTGATAGAGTCTTTGCTCTGTTGTAATTGTTTCTTTTCCTCTTCTGTGGCCTTTCAGAGTGTCTGTGGCCCAGCACATGAGCTCCCTCACTTGTTAGCAGCACAGACTCGACTCCAGGCCCCACCCTAGACCGCAGGACTGGGGTCTGCACTGCAGCCAATCCCAGCCCGTGTGGGGACAGCACGCTGGGGCACTGTGGGTGGAGGTGGAGAGGGCTCCCTGTGCTCAGCTTGAGTGCGGTGCAGCACAGTCAGCTGGATCCATCCCCTGTGCCGCTCATTAGGTTTTAACTATTGACCGAGGCAGAGGTAATGGTGTCGGACCAACTTAACACAAGACCTCGGTGCTTTAGAGCCTGCAGCGTGGATGTCAAAGTACTGACGGGTGGTGTGTCACTAGGCCTGAGGTACAGTTACGGTTTACAGCATCGTTTTATTTTCAGGCATTTGTGCTCGTGGAGATGTGTCTCCATCGCTGGGTCTGCTTGCAGGCGCAGCAGGGAGAGAGCAGGCTGGCTGCTCGCCTGACTGTCCTTCTTGTGCTTTGCGAGTGCAGCAGTTCATTTCCATTCTGTTACAAGTGAAAGACATTTGAATATTATGAATCATGAACATAGACTTTTTTTAAAGTTTGTAAAAGCATTTAAATGAACCTAGCACTCAGCAGGTGTCTGTGTAACCGCAGGTCGCTGAGACCTGATAGGAGGCGGAGGTGCTTGATGCCCGGGGAGTGTGCGGGGCGAGGAGTGAGAGCCGTGGCTGGAGAGGGGTGTTTAGGTGGGACTCGCTCAGGCAGAGCTTCCGTGTGAATAGTGATGTAGCGGAAGGTAAGGAGCACGCCGGTTTCAGTGAGAAGCAGGGCTGAGGTGAAAGGCCCGTCCTGCTGGCTCTGGGCTTGGAGCTGAGGTGGTGGGGGGCAGCTGCAGACAGGCCCCACGTGGAAGTGGGGGGTGGAGGCAGACGCGCAGCCCGCAAGTAGCCAGCCTCCAGCAGGTGGGGAGCCCGGTGGCCGCACACATTCTGGGGGCTGGGTCAGCAATGACAGGACATGCCCACCTGTGTAAGGGAAGGAGTGTGTGTCATCCGAGGTGAGTGACAAGGCGGCCACATGCTAGTGAGCGAGCCCAGGGAACTCCGGTGTTAGCTTAGTGAGTGCACTGGACTCTGCTGGAGTCTGTGAGTCCAACTCCAGGCCACCAGGGGCTCTTGGAGTCCTATTTCTTTTCTCTGAAGTGTAATCAGCAACATGCAGGAATATAATCTTTTTCCAATATTGAATTAATTTTTTATATTTTTTGTTAATCCTCATTCGAGGATATTTTTTCCATTGATTTTTAGAAAGAGTGAAAGGGGGGGGCGGGGACAGAGACAGACAGACATTGGTTAGTTGTCTCCCATGTGTGCCTTGACTGAGGCTGGGGATGAAACCTGCAACCCAGGTACGTGCCCTTGACTGGGAATCGAGCCCGCTACCCTCCGGTCCTCGGGCTGATGCTGTAAGTACTGAGCCAAACCAGCCAGGACTATTAAGTTAATATTTAATGTTTGAAATTATTTTCTCCTGCAATCGGTTTAGTGATCCACATGTTTCTAATAGGACATTTTGCAGTATTTTTACATCTTAAATATAAAGAACTCATAGTCTTCGGTCTTTAAGAGGACGTGAACCCCCTTCCTCGTTTTGTCTGTCTGTGATGCAGGGGAACATGGAGACACTGGAGCTGCAGAAGGAAATGAAAGAAGAATCTGACGAAGAGGATGATGAGGATGAAGAATCTGGACGATTACGTTTCAAAACTGAAAGGAAAGAAGGAACAATCATCAGGCTCTCGGATGTAACTCGAGAGAGAAGGAACATTCCAGAAACTTTGGGTAACTCTTTTTGCCTGTCTCCCGTCTTTCCTCACTCTCATCTCAGCTTCCTCCGCAGCACTGCCACGAGTCACCAGATGGGTGAAGGACAGCGGCCATCGGGGTGGGGGGCTGCGGACAGCCGAGCGCCGGTGCTGTGAAGGTCATTCCGTGAGGCACGAGGTGACGTGCAGACACGATCGGCTGCCCGCCGCCCTGGCAGGTCCGCTGTTGAAGACTCCCAGCAGACTGCGCTGGGCCGCAGAGAGCCTTCTCGGTGCTGCCCACTCCCACGGCTCCCCCAGGGCCTGTGGCACAGGGCGAAGCCGAGAGTCTCCAGTGGGAGTGAGCAGGTCACCCAGCAGGTTGTTAACACGGATTCCTGCCCCCGCCCCCAGCTCTTCTGATTCACACATGTAGTGTGGAGCCAACAAAGGTGCATTTCTTTTTTTTTAATTGTCACCTGAGGACATTTTTACACCCATCTTCAGATAGAGCGGGAGGGAAGGAGGAAGAGAGAGAGAGAGAGAGAAACATCGATGTGAGAGAGACACACCGAGTGGCTGCCACCCACACGACCCCGACTGGGGCTGGGGACAAATTGTAACTGAGGTACGTGCCCTTAGTGGGAACTGAACCCGGGACTCTCCAGTCTGTGGGCCGACGCTCTAACTGCTGAGCCAAACTGGCCAGGGCCAAAGGTGCACTTCTGATGCCCTTCTGGGTGCTGCTGCTCCGGGCTCTACTCTGAGCACTGCTGGGTAGTGGATTGTGTTCCGAGGGGTCGGGAGGCTAGAGGTGTACCTGCTCTCTGGTCTTAGTCAAAGCAACAGTCCCAAAACTGACCCTTTGTTACTACCTTTATTACCTCTTAAAACCATTATTTGTAACCATTTCGCTTAGAAGCATGGACATGCATCTGTAAGTGGTGCGTGTCTGTAAGAGTGGGAATTCTGGCCCTGGCCAGTTTGGCTCAGCGGTTAGAGCATCAGCTTGTGGTCCAGAGAGACCCGGGTTCGGTTCCCTCTAAGGGCATGTACCTCGGTTGCGGTTTGTCCCCGGCCCTGGTTGGTCGTGCGGGTGGCAGCCACTCGATGTGTCCCTTTCACGTCAATGTTTCTCTTTCTCTCTCTCTCTTCCTCTCCCTCCCTCCCACTCTATCTGAACAAAAAATGGAAAAATGTCCTCGGGTGAGGATTAAAAAAAAAAAAAGAGTGGGAATTCTGCATGAGGTCACTGAGCCCCCGGAGGCACAGTCTACAGCACTGAGCCAGCCTGTCATGTTACTTCCTTAACGTGCTGTGTGGGAGATTGTTCTGGAGTCATGCTGCTCGCCACTTCTTCCACTAACAGTTTCTTCCATCTCTTCCTTTGGCCCAAGACTCCCCTAGACTTTTCTCAAGGGAAGGTATAAAGTTGCCAGTCCAGGACAGTGTGAGTTTCTAAGCAAGAGGAATTGAAGTTGACCTTGGGTAAGAGGAGATGAAGCACTGATCTTGAAACATGGGACAAAAACAAAAGTACCCTCAGCAGGAGGATGGAAGGGAGCATCGCAGAGCAGACCTGCTGGAGCACCTGTCGCAGTCTTGGGCCAGGATGGTGGACAAGGGTGACATGGTGCCCTTGCTGAGCACCAGAGGGCCGTGGGCAGTGGCTCAGGAGGGAAGTGGCCTAGGGCTTCTGGAGCTGCAGCAGGTGCCGTGTTAGGGGGGGTGTGGTGAGTCACCAGGTTCTGCTGCTTTGCCAGCTGGGTATGGCTTGTCGCATTGAGTGGGGAGCCTGATGCGTCCAGTCCCAATAAGAGGGGCAGCTGCAGGTGCTGAGGCTGCAGAGGCCACTTGCTGGTCCCCATTAAGGACGGGGGTGCTTTCCCTCTGCAGCCGGCTTAGAGGCCACGGGGGTTTGCGGGTCACCCACCCCGACCCTGGTGCCTCTGTGCGGTCCCTGTCCTCTGCTGGGTCATCTCGTTCCTGTCCATTTTAGTGAGACGTCCAGCTAGCCTGTGTTCATGATTTGTTTGTTTTATTCCTACTTCTCTTTGTTTTCAGGACCTTTGCCTCATTTCGTTCTTTTCAGGGTGTTCTGTACTTCTGTTATTAAAGAGCTTGTGTAGAGTCTCTGTTTTCCTTTTAACACATCTGGAAGCTTTGTAGCCATGTCATCCCAAGCCCAGAGGCTGCAGGGTTAGTGGTGGGCAAGTTGGCCCTTTAAATGTGGGGGAGAGGGTCTGAGGTCCTTAGAGGCATTGTGGCTTAAGCATAAACAAATTGACCATTTATTATTCTTTCAGCCTAAAAATTGGCTTTAAATGCCTTTGTGCAGACTGATTGTTTGGTTAGATAATAGGGCAAATGAAAATGGGGCTGAAAAGTCTCTTTCTCGGCTTTGGATTTGTGAAGCCTACCCCAGGAAAGCTCAGTGTTTGGAAACACACGTTTTCTAGAAACTGAGAAGTTAGGGTTATTCCCAGTACAAACAGGATTTTTCTGTCCACTTAAAGATTGGTTTTCTAAAACAGTGAGCTCCCTTATTACCTGAACACATTTATCCCCCAAACAAAAGGTACGTTTTGTTTATAAGAAGGCTACTGAGAGAGACAGGCCGTTGTGTTCAGTACCTGGAGATGACAGTTCTGTGTGTGCTTGTGGTGGGAGCAGGTGCTCCAGGTGTCTTGTGGAGATTCTCGCATTTATTTGGTTGTACAGAGTTGTTTTACTATCTTGCTACTAGAATATATTGTCTCATATTATATATATTTTTGACAAATATCTTTTAACATTTTAATACAAATAAAAACAATTATATTGTGAAATCATTAATATTGAGAACACCCCACACTTTAAAAAGAAGGACGAAATGAGGCTCTGGCGCTCCTGTCCAGAGCCTTTTCTGCTGTGGAAGGCAGTTCTCTTCGAGGCCTGGCGGGCGTTCAGTCGCGCTGGTCGTTCCGCACCAGCAGACGATGTCAGTCCTACACGGGAAGAACACCAGTTCGTATGCGACAGTCTCCCCGCCACCAGCCTGGTACAGAGCCGCTCGTTTTGTGGTTTGAGTTCAGACTGGATCAGACTTAGAATTTTGGGCTTTCATCTAGGTTAAGATCTTAGGTAGTGAGCTTTTTTCTGACTTGGGATTCTGGGAATTAAACCTTACAGAAAATGTGTTTGTCTCTCAGTTTGCCCAGGGATGGTAGAAAGCTCTGTCCTTGGGAGATGAACTCATTCATCGCACAAAGGGTTCTGTGGGGTCGAAGGCGCCTTGTGGAACCCAGAGGAGAAGGGTTGCTAGGACACGTGTCACACAGGAAGGGCTTGTTCCGAGTGGTCGTGCTGAAGCCACCACCGATGTGGGCGTCGGCCAGTGTCCATGAAGCGCCCTCACAGGGGCCGGGGCTGCTGGGGTCCGCCCTGGGAGGGGCTCCAGCTCTGGCTGAGCCGTCCGGGCGGTGACGGGGGCCGTGCTCGCTCCAGCTGGGCTTTGTTCCCTTGTCGGGCAGCAGGCAGTTTGCTTGTGCGATATTCCAGGCTTCAGCGGCACATTTATCACGTTCAGTTATGTTTTATTGCTTTAGCCCAAAGAAGACTTTGGGATGCATGATGTTCTCTTTAAATCACATCCTTAGTTGATTGTGTTTAAGGCGCAGGATCTGTGGGGAAGTTTCCCGTCTGGTGGTGAGCAGCTCAGACTGCTCGTGCAGGCCCCTGACCTGCGCAGCGCAGGCTCCGCAGGCCTGGTCGGGCGCTGGAGCCAGACCGTCTGCTCTTCGACTTGCCCGATAAACTGTTCTAGAAGTGTTTGTGTGTTGTGTGTTAGTCCAGCTGTGAGGCGGTTATTGTATATAAGTATGTTTCCCTCAAGCAGTATAGAAAGGGACAGCTCAGTGTGAAACTTTGCTACAGTGAGCTCGCTCGCTCTCCGCGTTGGAATCTGGACATAGTTCAGAAAACACTTAAAGGGAAATTAACATTTCAGTTGAAGTTACAAATGTAATTTCCATCCTGTCATATTTTGGTGACCTTTTGTGACAGCTTGTCTCAATTGGAGGAAAGCATTTTTACTTGCTGATTAAAGATGTCATTTGAAACCATTTTATTACTGAGGGTAGTGAAATTAATCTTGACACTTAGAACCACTAGAAAAATAATTGCTGATTCACCGCATAAAATGTGTATGTGAACCAATCATGTAGTCAAGATTAGAGTAAAAGTCTGTGCTTGTTAAGAAGAGATTAAATTTCCCTTGGAATGGGGTCTCGATTCATTTGAAGGGGAGGGGTTACCATAGAAACCATTTCAAGGGAATCAAGTGTGGCTGAGAGATTTTGGAAGAGTTTGGAGATGACTGTGGAATCCAGGGCAGGAGATAAAGTAGTGATATTTACAATGTCCCCTCCACTGGGGAAGAAGGCGTGAGGATGCTTCTCCGGATGCGTTTGCTGACGTAAGATGAATGGGCACAACTCAGATAAGAACTCTCTTTTCGTGATTTAGAGTAGTTGCCACCTGAAGCTCCTTAGGGGCAGAGTACACGTGCTTCGTACCCTGAAGCAGCAGTTTCACCCGGTGTGCTGCAGGGATGGTCAGACCTGCAGCCCGGCCTGTTCACTCGGGGCGCCGAGCGCTCTCCCGTCAGACGGCGAGAGAAGCTGGCAGCAGCCCACGCAGCGCGCGCCGTGTGGTGTGCGTGCATCAGGGTTAGACCCGCGTCTGTCATATCTCGGTGTGCCACAGAGCCTAGTGGTTAGTCCATGTGCCGTGGGTGAGAGAGGTCGGAGGTCGCTGCTGCAGTGCCCACACGTCTGCGGGGCTAGGTTCTCCTGTGACTTCGCCTCGTTCACGTGGCTCCTCCTCAGAAGACATGCACAGGAGACCTGTCTGCCTTCACCCTGGGAAGGTTTTCTTTTTTTTTAAACTGAACATTTGAAATGATAATAGTAAATGTTTTCCATTCTGTATGAAATTAACTTTAATTATTTGACCTCGGAGCGATTTTATGAATAGTTTTGTTTTAAAAGCAGAAGAGTCAGGAATCTGTGTTGCGCGCACATCTTCCGAGTCCCTGTCCCGCGCTAGCCGTGCTCGGGCTGGCTTCGGCGGGACCGGGCTGCGCTGCGCTGCGCTGCGGCCCCAGAGACGGCGTGACTGCACGCGGCAGGACATGGAGCCGTCCCAGTGAAGCGCCCGCGTTCCTGTGCCCGGGGGCGGGTGCAGAGCCTGCCGTCCCTGAGCAGGTCTCCCCAGTGGGGTGCGCTGGGCCCTGCCTGCTCCCGGCTGTGCGGCTGTCTGTTGTGGGGAAGCACTTGCTGCTGCGGAGTTTCCGTGTCCTATGTCTCCTCCCTCGTTCTCCCCCAGAGCCTCACGCCCGCTCCCGAGGGCTTCTGACACGTGTGCATCTTTTCACCCAGAGCTTTCGGCAGAAGCCAAAGCGGCGCTGCTCGAGTTTGAAGAAAGAGAACGCCAGCACAAGCAAGGCCGCTACGGTTCGAGGCGGGGCGGCCGGAGAGGAGGTCCTTTGATGTGTCGTGGGATGGGGGACCAGAGAAGAGAGAACAGCGAGAGGGGCCGGATGAAGGACCACAGACCTGCGCTGCTCCCCACACAGCCTCCCGTAGTGGTAATGTTGCAATTTTCTTGAGAGCCCGCAACTAGAACAAATGAAAAGATGCTTCGGTGGGTGTGGTGTTTTGTGTTGATCGCTGCTTAGTCTGGAAGTGAAGTTTAGTAGTAGGAACACAGCTAATGTTTCTTTATAGTCTGTGATATGATTTCACATGTGGTCTTATGAATTCCATCCTCCAGTGAAAATCATTCTGTCCACAACTCTTGTGAGGGAAGCCGTAGTAAGAAACCTGCTTCCGCGAGGGACCACTGCAGGGGCCTTGCGGCCAGGGCCCGGGCCCCCGGGTGCTGTCCTCCGCACGGTGCTCGGCTCCCTGGGGCGGTTCTGCTGGTGGAACCAGCGAGGGGTTTGGGACGGCCAGGTCTCCCGTCGCCCTGAGACTGAGCACACGGGGAGATGGGGAGCCGGGGGACTGGCGGAGCGGCCTCCTGCCTGCTGCTGCGGACTTACTTCTGAGTCGTGGCTTTGTTAATTCAGTCAGTGTACATCCGTAACCTGCCACCAGTCTGGCTTCGCTTCTGACCGTTGATCCCTGTGAATTTGTCTTTGTGATTTTAGACACACTCTCCAAGGTTAATTCCTCAAGCACAGCCTCAGCCGCCCCCGCCACCGCCGCCCCAGCAGCAGCCCATTCGGAGCCTGTTCCAGCAGCAGCCCCTGCAGCCCCTGCTGCCCCTGCAGCACCCGCACCACCCGTCCCCTCCCCAGGGGATGCACGTGCCGCCCCAGATGGAGGCGCCCAGGGTGATGATGACCCCTCCGCCCGTGACCCCACAGCAGCCCAAGAACATCCACATCAACCCCCACTTCAAGGGGGCTGTGGTGACGCCCGTGCAAGGTATGTGTCTCCTTCGCTGCTCCCAGTCTGGGCTGCTGTGCCAGCGAGCTGTCCTGCTCCAGCCTGCAAGGTCGGCCTGCTTCCTGAGCCGCCCCCGCCCACTTAGCCTCCTGCTGCTCTGTTTGCTGACAAAGGTGTGCCTCAGTTTCTGATTGGGTGGCAAGTGCCGGATCTGGAGGGCGGCTGGCCCTTGTGAGAGACGGCACCGTGCTGTGCTCGGGCGCCCTGGTGCGAGTGTTTGCACAGGGTGTCCCTTGGGTCCCACTCGGGGCTTGTTGTAAGTCTCCATGTTTGCCGGGGGGTGGGGGAGTGGTGGTAGCAAAGTCACCTTCAGTCGTGAGTTCTAAGTTGATAGTCTGTCATGTTACCGTTTCTTGCCCTGAGGAAACTGTTCCATGCAGGTGGTAAGGAGACCATGTTTATGTCCCTGCAGCGCACGTGGACTGGGGCACTTCTGTCCCGGGCACTGAGAGAGCAGTGCCCACAGCAGACGGGCCTCTGCAGCCGTGTGCTGCGCGCTAGCAGTCCGTCGGCGAGCTGCAAACACGTTGGTTTCTGTGGCAGATTAGGGGATGCTCGCGCCCTGACAGACAGAGCAGGTGGGCTGGGCTGGCTTCATGCAAAGGGACAGGTGAAGCAGGCCGGGCAGCTGGTGCTTGGAAACGGACAGCATGTGTGGAGCCTGGGGTTGGAATGGCACCAGGGTCAGGAAGGACCCTGCCCAGCCGGTGGGGGAGGCTGAGGCGGGAAGGCAGCCTTGTCCTCTGGGACAGCTGGTTCCATCGCAGCCAGAAGGGGACAGGTGGGGCCAGCATGGGTTCTGGGGGCCTGGACTTGGAATCCAGAGGTGTGGCTGAGAAGGTTCGGAACTTGGGGAGAAGCCTGAGATAGGGCCTGGGCTGGGGGGAGGCGGTGGCCTGGGCTGGGGGGAGGCGGTGGCCGGGAGGCCCTGTGAAAGTGCGCTGTGGTCTTGGAGCAGGGCTGTGGCGTGGCCGGCTGGCCGTGAGGGACGAAGGCCGTCAGCATCCTTGTATTGCTGCAGGAAACTGCCCTGTTTGGACACACCTGGTGGGTCACAGCGGTGAGCGCTGTGGGTCCCTGACCCCCTGACGGACCCCATTGCTTGTCCCCACCCTGAATCACAGTCCCTCGGAGACTTCACCTTCTTCCAGGGCTCCCAGCTTCCCAGGCAGGCAGTGTTGTCCGTGTGACCAGCACACCACCTGTGTCTCCTTCAGCAGCTGTGGGAAGAAGGGACCAACCCACACTGTGGGAGGCATGGGGGGGCACCTGAAAGTGGCCCTTTCCACAGTGGCTGCCCGGGACGTGCACCTGAAGGAAATCCAGTTTGTGGGAATAATTTTACTGTCAGCATCTGTTATCGCGCGTTTCCTTGTCCATCTGGAGGGAAAACGGCGGCTGGTCAGGTGCGCAGATCCTGGAGCACGAGCAGTGGGAGGGCGCTCGGGAGCCAGGTGTCTTCCGGGCGTGAGGCCGTGTGCCTTGCCGAGGCAGCAGCCTGACGGGCACAGATGCAGGCCTGGCACCCCGAGCTCGGGCAGGCTCGGCGAGTGCAGCCAGCCTCCCCACACGCTCACACCAGGGCCAGCTGGATGGCGGCCATCACGAAGCCAGGGCCTTGTAGCGCAGGGTCCTCCCAGACGCACTTCGATCTCGAGGTTCCCTGGCGCAGGGGGAGAGCGAGGACGTGAGCTTCAGTACAGAGCAGTTCTTGAGAGAGGCTGGCGATCTAGCGGCACAGGTGAGGCGGAGGAACTCGGTGGTTCGGAGCTGTGGGCAGGTAGAAGGTGCATTCAAATCACTGTGTAAGAGGTGAAGTGTGTGCAGGTCTTCTCCTGCCGCACACATCTTCTGTTTGAGGCCGAAGTGTCCCATCAAACTATGATTGACTGGTTTTGATGTGAATTTAATGTGTTCTTCAGATGTTTACTATTAAAACTGTTGCAGTGTATTGTTAATTAAATACATGGGACAACAGAAGGTATAGATATCAAATATCAAATCAGAAGATAGAAAGATTACATCAAATATTCAGAGTTCAAGTTCAACTGGAACGGTCTGTTAACAGTACAAGTTTTAAGTTCTCTGATAGTTCATCTTCCTGCCTGCTGACCAGCTGCACTGGCGGCCGGGCCGGCCTTCCCTCTGGCCGGCTGGGTTCCGACGTGCCCGTCACATCTGTTCTCAGATTCTTGTCATGTTCACTCATTTCTCCAACAGGCAGAAGGCTTCTGTGTGAAAATCTCTTGATTATGCTGGGGTTCTTCCCAGAGACGCCCTACATTTCTTGCTCTCGTTCCCCCAGTTCAAGAGACTGCACGTTTGTACCCTTCATTTTATATATATATGTATATATGTGTATATATATATATATATATTTTTTTAATATGAACTGATGTTTGAACCCCAAGTTTAAAAATTGGGTGCCTAGTTTTTAAAATGCTGTCTTTATATTGTTTAATGTGTAGTTTTTTTCTTCCTTATTTTCTTGATAGTCTTCTGAGGTCAGAGATGCTCTCTAGTTTTTTCCTTTTTTGCTTCGTGATCTGCTATTTTGCTTCAGGTATATAATCCATGTACCCAGTGTCTTTAGCCAGCAGTATAGAGTGAGGGGCTGGAGCTGTTTTATATGAAGTCTTGCAAATTGGCTCTCATTTTGAAATTCTGACTCGTTGGATTAGTCTCTCAAGAGCGGGATATACTTCTATTTACATTTTATCAAAATAAGTTTCTTCCTGTCGCACTTTGCTTTGATCAAATGGTCTCACAGGCCCATCTGCATCATCACTTTAAGTCGGATCTGTGTAAGTCTGACATCAGTTACCGGGCTTTATGTACAGAATATCTTGAGTAAGCAAAGCAAATAAAATCAGTGTATCTCAGCACTTGGTTTTTAAGGCATTTTGATTGACTTTTAAACTGTATCATTTCTATATTTCTCATTTACCAGAAATTTAAAAAAATATATAATAATAATTATATTTTTAATTTATAAGTTATATTGTTGTTCTTGCCGTGGCCTCTGCATATCTGTGTTGCAATCTCTTCTTACAAGGACATCAGTCAGTCACGTGGATTAGGGTTACCCACATGACCTCATTTTACTAGTCACCCTTTTCCAAATATAATCTCATTTTGAGTTATCAGGGTTAGGACTTAAGCATACGAATTTGGGAGGGGACCACAGGTTAGAGTGGTTTTCAGCCTGTGGGTCACGACCCCTTTGGGGGGTCGAACGACCCTTTCATAGGGGTCGCCTAAGACATAACAGTAGCAAAATTACAGTTATGAAGCAGCAACGAAAATAATTTTATGGTTGGGGGTCACCACAACATGAGGACCTGTATTAAAGGGTTGCGGCATCAGGAAGGTTGAGAACCACTGGGTTAGACCATAGCACCTGACGCTCTGAGAGCTTCCCGGATGCACAGGGCAGCACATCTCCGACAGGTGCAGCTGCCAGCTTACAGCAGTCCCCACTCGGGGTGGGCTCCCCCACATCCAGATCAGTGGATCTCACATTCCATACAGCTTAAACATACATGATTTAGCCCAGGTGTGAAACATCTGACTTCCTTTGTTATAAGAGTCGTTCCTTGTCCTTCCAGCAGATGTGCTTATTTCAAAACAAAACACATCAGAAGAAGCAAAGTCTCGGTGTCCTCGGCTGTCTTTGTCACAGTGCCCTGGGCTTGCATATCCCCTGCTCTGCCTGCGTCACTGTCTCCTTCCCTCCGTCTCGTTCTTCCAGGACTCGAGTTCAGGTTTCACTTGTACTTGAGAAGGACGGCAGGACCGGGACTGGACCGCCTGGGTAACCTGGGTATGGGGGTGAGAGAGTCAGTTCTGCTGCTGCAGAACAGTTGGACTCTAGATGGATTCACAGTTGACATGTCAGCTCCTGCCTGTGCTGTTGTGTGGAGACAGAAGGCCTGCTCTTCCCTTCCCCTTAACGGGAACCGTGCTCTGTGTCGCACACGTTGTAGTGTGTTACCTTATCTCAGTGCAGCGTCTCCCTGGGCAGCTGGCCTGGGGTGCATGCAGTGTGTTTCTAATGGGAGTGCTTTTCCACAGTGCCCTTGCTGCCCGTCCCGAGCCAGCCGAGACCTGCGGTGGGACCCCAGAGATTCCCGGTGAGTAGCCGCTGCTCTTCTGCGCGAGACGGTGAGCACACACTTACTAGGAAATATTAATATAGCAGATACAAGTGGGTCCAGCATATACGTTTAAGGATTTATAAATATTGACCATAATTTTTGCAGTGGAAAATGTTTGTTAAAAGGTTAAGGTCAATGGATTTTTGAGAATGGAATTAATTTCAGCTGTAAAATTGTTGAATCAGGATCATCAGTGGACTGCCTTTCATCTTAAAGAATGAATTTTGATTTTATTGCTTGATGTTAAGTGAGGAAGGGCCTTTGTTACAGTGTGCGCTATGTGCGTGGGCACATGTGCTTTTGTGTACGTGTGGGTATGTGTATGACATACTAGGGAATGATGATTAGGTCTCTACTTTTTTAAAAAAATGTTTTTATTTTAGAGAGAGAGGGAGAGAGAGAGAAACCTTGATCAGCTGCTTCAACCCTGGCATGTGCTCTGACTGGGAATCGAACTGGCAGCCTCTTGGTGCATGGGAGGACGCTTAATCACTGCGCCACACTGACCAGGGCTCTACTTGTTATTTTAAAAAACCTCAAAAGTCCCAGTGACCATTGGTTTTATATTTTAACGGGAGGTTTTCTTGCCCTGGCCAGTTAGGCTCAGCGGTTAGAGCGTTGGCCTGTGGTCCAGAGAGACTCAGGTTCGGTTCCTGCTAAGGGCACGTACCTCAGTTGCAGTTTGGCCCCCGACCCTGGTTGGGGTCGTGCGGGAGGCAGCTACTCGAAGTGTCCCTTTCACATCAATGTTTCTCTCTCTCTCCCTCCCACTCTATCTGAACAAAAATGGAAAAATGTCCTTGGATGAGGATAAATAGAAAAGGGAGGTTTTCTCTTTAAAATATGTTTAAAAGAAGGCACCCCCCCCCCCCACACACACACACTTTCCTATACTTTCCATAATTATTTATTCTTCTAACTTGTCTTAACTAGAAGGACAATGTCCATTAAGTAGTTGTAGTTTTAAGTAAATTTTGTTTGAGGTTTTGGTTCAATTTATAGCTAGTTCATGGTTTTATCAAATCAATGAAGACATGCCCTTTTTAAACAATGCTGGAAAAAATGGACCAGACTATAAAGTTTTCATGTGATTTGTATGTAAAACAAATGTTGTTTTGCTTAGACCAGAAAACCTGGTTTCGGGAAATGCCTACATGACCCATGTGGTCCTGCTGTGATAGTTGAGTAGCTCGTCACATGTGGCTGGAGAGAGGTTGATGAGGATCCAGATGTACTGTCAGCTGGTTGTTCAAAGTAAAGTCCGCGTTGGATTCAGGGGCTAAGAGTTTTTTAGAAAGTTCCTTGATTTCTAGTTATTTATGAATGACACTATGGTTTCTAAAACTGATTCTTACTGATTTCATTCCCTCATCTTAGCTAATTTTTTCTTTAAATTGCTTAAGTTCTAAAAACTAGTTATTTTTTAAAAAATCAGGTGATGTTTATTTAGTACAAAATCCTGTTCAGTGTGTTTGTCTAAACAGCTTAGATTATTAATTGCACTGCCCCAGGACATGCTTGTATGTTGTGTGTACTCATTAGATATACTTTTTCTGGTGAGATAGTTTAACTGTTAGTTATTGTAAATCACTAACTTTTTTTAGTACTTTATTAGTACTATTTACCAATTGTTGGGATTGTGTGCATCTGTGTTAAAATTATTATTAGACTTTTAAAAATTTGCATCATAGGGATAAAATTTGACATAAGAAAGCAATTGTAGTTGAAGAAAAACGAAGTAATGTATGTAATTGATATTTTTTGCAAAAATATGTTTGCTTATGTAAAATTAGAATAATCATGTTCAGTCTTCACCTACTCGTATTTTCCATTTGGACAAATGGCGTGATCTGACAGATAAGCAAAGCCTCGGACTTGGGTGGTTACGAGGGGGTAGGAGAAGACGCCCTGGAGGGACTGCACCGGCACTGCCCGGGGCTGTGCTGCTGAGCTGCTCTGGCAGGTCTGAGCTTGGGTGCAGGAAGGGTTGCATCCGAACAGCGTCATGTGGGACGCAGTTTGAGAAATGTTTCTTTAACGCAGTTCTGTTCAATGATTGTCTGTTTAACCCCGGATGCTGGATCTGAAGCTGGTCACAGAGAACTTGGACTCTCAAAAATGCAGTGCTCTGTTTATTTCTGTGATCAGTCCCCCTCAGAGACAATAGTCAGATGTAGAATCTGTTTGAAAAACAGACAGTAGAGGTATTACGTTTCTAAAATGTCCATCAAAATGCTGCTGGGACACGAGGTGAACTCTAGGTCATCTTCTGTTGTTAAGCCAGGTCTGTTTGAATGACACTGCCCTTCCCTCTCGCACCGCTACATTCAGCTTGTCCTGAGTGTGCACGAGTTCGTGAGCACCGAGTTCCTCCTCCACGCCGAGTGCTCTGCTTAGTGCCGGTCCCTCGGCCGTGCAGCGGGCCGCACAGTTCAAGGAGCCCACTCCTTGAGCCTGCTCTCACTCCAGTGATGCTCTGCAGACAGTGAGACAGGGCTGTGGCTCTCACAGCCCCGGGAGAGCTCTTCCTGGTGGCACTGCCCTGTCAGCATCTACTCAATGGAATTTTTCTTTGTAAACTGAACGCGCACACTCAAACAGATTTGTAAAGCGTTGAAGTTAGGAAGCCTGACTTCATCTCAGGGTATGTTTGGATCAGCACACCTTGTTCTGCACAATATGTAGATTACAGGTATCTGTGGAGCAAGAGACAAGGTCGCTGGGATCGTGTCTGTCCCCAGGGAGCCCTGCAGTGAGTTCCCATTGCTCCCGGGAGAGGAGATAATTCTTTTAAAAAAAATTTTTTTTTTCTTTACTGATATTAGAGAGAGGGAGAGGGAGAGAACCATGGGAACATGGATGAGAGAGAACATCAGTTGGCCGTCTCCTGCACGCCCCCCACTGGGGATCAGGCCCACATCCCGGGCATGTGCCCTGACTGGGAATCTTGATGCATAACCACTGAGCCACAGCGGCTGGGTGAGGAGATCATTCTGTTGACAACTTCACACTGCTTACTCGGTTCATGAGTACCTGGTTTATAGAGAAACTTCTCTGAAGTCCCAGTCGTCCTGTGTCCAGAGGTGCGGATGAATGGTTGTTGAACAAATGCACACAGGACTCTCATTGAGTGAGCTTGTTGTTTGTGAGGAACTCCAGAAAATGAGTAGCGTAGAGAGGGTATGTATTACTTGTTTACTTTTTGTTATTTTCAAGGATACCTATGTGAATTCATCCATTAACTCCACAGGAGTTCAGCTGTACCGGCCTGACTAAAGAGTAGAAGAAACCGGCAGGAGACACAGGACCACTAGGTATCCACCTGGGACAGGCAGACAGTTGGGACACAGTTGGTGTTAATGCTAAGGCTGTCTTTTTCTACCCCAACAGTGGCAGACTTGACTTTCTTAAAAGTCCATTTTGTTTGACAGTCTTATGAAAACTTGAGAAATTTTAAATTTAGAACTAGTATTCCTAGAAATTGTGCTAAGTGATGAAGCCAAGGCTTGTATGTCTTAAATAAAAAGTCACAGAGCTTGGCCAACCTAACATGGGACACTATTCTTTTTTTATTCCTCACCTGAGGATATTTTTCTATAGATAATTAGAATGGGAGAGAGGGAGGGAGAGAGAGAGAAACATCGATGTGATAGAGCCACATCGACTGGTTGCCTCCTGCACGACCCGACCAGGGCCGGGGTTGAACTGCAACCAACGTACGTGCCCTTGACTGGAATAGAGCCCACGACTCATTGGTCTGTGGGTCAGTGCTCTAACTGCTGAGCCAAACCGGCCAGAGCGAGACACTATTCTTTAACCTAACATGAGACACTATTCTTTTTTTTTCATTCTCACCTGAGGCTATTTTTTTTTTCCATTTGAGATAGAGTGGGAAAGAGAGAGGGAGGGAGGGAGAGAGAGAGAGAGAGAGAGAGAGAGAGAGAGAAACATTAATGTGAGAGAGACACATCGAGTGGCTGCCACCCACATGACCTCAACTGGGGCCGGGAACAAACTGCAGCTGAGGTCCATGCCTTTAGTGGGAACTGAACCCGGGCCTCTCAGGTCTGTGGGCCGACGCTCTAACTGCTGAGCCCGACTGGCCAGGGCGATACACTATTCTTTAACCTAACATGAGACACTATTCTTTAACCCAGCATAAGGCACTATTTTTAACCTAATGTGAGACACTGTGTTTGTGTCTGTCTAAACTCTGTTTTAAGTTCCCAGTGTTTTTTTCACATGTTAGTATGGTAGGGTTCACTTTCTTGATGACTCTTCCTGATGTTTTTGTCCTTAATAGAAAGTCCTTTCATTATGTGTAAGTAATTTTCTAGTTACATATTTTTCCTCAAAGAGATAGTTATTGTTTTTTTTAAAGTTTACCCACTTAAAAAAGTAACACTAAAATGTTGATTACTAATATCTGAAAGTGCAGCTTTGAGATTTTGCTGACCTCGTTGGTTTCAGTGTCAGTACCCCCGATGTCTTACGTACAGGAATCACCCCTGTCACTCCAGGCAAAGTTTCCTGACCTAGGGTATTCTAACACCTGCTCAGTCAATTGATTTTGCTTTGATATGTCAGGAAATGCTAGTATTTCAAGGTAGCCAGTTAAACACTAAGTAGTTTGGCTGCTGAATAATTTCTTAGTGATCTTTGTTTAAATTAAAACTTAAAGTTATGTTAAAAAAAGCTTCACTTTAGTTTAAATTCATCTTCGTAATGATTATACGGCTACTTAGGTAGAGCCAGTAAAGGTGGTTCTCGTTGGTGTTTCCTGTGCAGGCAGTGCTCACAGGTGGGCCTGTCTGCCTTCTGCATCCCTGTGTGTGTGTGTGGGGGGGGTCCGGGGAGTGTGGGACCAGGTGGTGGTGATTGACAGCCCCTGGATGTGTTCTGTGTGGCATCTCATGCAAATCGTGTTTGATGGGGCAGCTGCATCCAGTTGCACCCCTTCTAGATCACGGTCCGTG